CCACCGCGCTGTGCATCCAGGAGCGGTACCAGGGGCTGGTGCCCTCCCTGCAGCTGGAGATCTATGCGGACCGCTACACGCCCCGCACCACCAGCGACGTGGCCGTTGGCCTCTGGCAGCCCTACCTGAGCGACCGCGGCAACCCGGAGGAGATGTGAGTGAGGATGATGAGGAGGAGGAGGAGGCGGGTGCCGTGTCCCCCCTGGCATGCCCATGGGCTGCCCAGGCACTGCTCCATGGGGCTGGTGGAGCCACCGCTCTCCTGTTTTCCTTGCAGGCTCTGGAATAAAGAGACATTCGATCACCTCCTTGGGCAACTGGGCTTGCCGGAGGCGAAGGAAATGGGACTTTTCCTAATTTCTGGCTACAACCTGTTCAAGCAGCCGGTGCCGGTAAGGAGCAAGTCGCAGCCAGGGCTGGGAAGGGCTCCAGCGCGGAGGCTGCCGGGGGTGGGCAGGGTTGTGCTTCTTCCCAGACGATGCTCTGAATGCTTCCGAATCCTTCCAAGTTTGTCTTGTGACCGTTTGCCTGGGACTCGGTGTTTTCTGTGCCCCCGATGCAGCATTGGTATGAATTCAGGGCTGAGCCCTGCGAGGGCAGGAGCTGGCAGAGCCTCCTGCTCCTTTGGGGTGGGATGTGTCCCCCCCACGGTGGCTCCTGTCCCATGGTGGGTTGGTTATGGTGATTTGGATCCATTAATGAGCTCAGACCTTTTCCCCTCTTGCAGGACCCATCTTGGAAGAACATTGTCCTGGGATTCAGGACCTTGACACCAGAAGAGCTTGAGCTCTTCCCTGGTTACAGGTATTTTTCAGTCCATTTTCCGGAGAGTCTCTGATGTGCTTTCCCCCAGGAGGGACAGGTATGGCTGAGTGGTCCCAGACACCTCCCTGCCGAGGGTGGGAAATGTTGGGTGCAGAAGTGGCCTTGCTTCGTTACAGCACTTCCCTTAAAATGACTTGGAAACACCTCAAACAAGCCAGAAAAGCAACACCCCAGCCTCTAAACCATTCCAGTTCCTCCCTTCCCTCACCAGATGTTGTCAAACGGGGGGAAGAAAAGCAGCAGAAGGTGTTTCATGCTGTAATCAGAGGGGAAAAGTCAGGGACTTGTTTGTGCAAAGGGGGAATTGGGCTCGTGGGGCTGCAGCAGCCATCAGCTGCTGGTGGGAAGCTCCTGAGCATCCTTACGGCTTCCTCTGCTCTGGTTTCAGCTACGGCTGGTTCCACACGGCGCTGCTGCTGGAGTGCCGGAGCTATCTGCCCTGGCTGACTGCGAGGTGGGTGCGGAGCCGCGGCGGGGCTGGGTCATACCGGTGCAGGAGGGCTGCTGCTCCCCCCAATTTCTCTGTCCAGCAGGACACAGGGGGCAGGGGTGGATTTCCATCTTGTACATCAGGTTTGGCCCTGGATCCTTCCCTCGTGCCAGGTTGGTGGCTGAGTTTGGGCAGCACTGATGTTAGGTGGCCGCCCCATGTCCTGCTGCGCCCCTGACCTGCTCAGCTGGAAAATGCGGGTGCTGGTGGCTCCCATGTGCTGGCACCCCCAGGGGACCTGAGCATCATCCCCTGCTCCTAGCCACCCCCACCCTGTGCCCCCATCAGCGCAGGGGCGAGGGCACGGCGGGATGGGCTGAGGAGAAGGGAGGCAGGGGTGCATCCCTGGGAAGTGGGGAAAAGGGTCTGGAATTCCTGGTGTCACACCAGGGGAGTAGCAGACTCCCCACTGTGACAGTTAGCCCAGGAGTGTGGTTTTGTGTGATAAAAATGACAATAATGAGACACGCAGAGCTGCGTCTGAGCTCTTTCTGCCTTTTAGCTCCGGGAGCATTTGGGGCTGGGTTTTGTTCTTGTCGTTTGTAACGGGGAGCGGGTGCCCTGGGCTCTGCTGCCACGCTGAGCAGGATCGATCCTCCTCGGTGGCTCTGGACCACTGGGGACCTCAGCTAACAACCGGAGACCATTGGGAACCACTGAGGAGACCACAGACATTTATTACAAGTGGCAACAAGCCGCACCTACTCAGGGTATCAATTCCAGGCACTAACTTGCATGGTGCAGTTGCTTTTAATTTGCTGGTTAGAAATGAATTTATTTTCCCAGGTTAATGCAGAGAGGAGTGAAGTTTTTCCATAAGAAGGTTGAATCTTTCCAGGAGGTGAGTGGCGATGTCGAGCTGGGGCAGAGCAGGCACGGCCCCGTCCCAGCATGGAGGAGCACGTGATGCTCCAGGATCTCCCATCTCCGGGATGTCAAGATCTAGGAAACAAATTCCACCAGGAAAAATAAAGGCTCTTGGGCATCAAGAGGTGACTGGGAGGGGATGGGACAGTGCGTCTGGCCAGTGCTGGGCGAAGATGCAGCCAAGCATGGGCAGTATGGCTTCCCCTTGCCTGCACACGCGGGGTCTCTGCGGGAGCCGTGCCGGGGAAGCTGTGCCCGGGATCCAGCCGTTGATTCATCACCAGGCTGTTGGACCGAGTCCTCGGCTGGGCTTTGCTGCGGGCATCTCGTGCTGGCCGCGGGCAGCATCGCTGCATGCTGCTCACCGTTCTGTGTCTGTCTCTCCTTAGCTGTTCGCCCAGGGTGTGGATGTTGTGATCAACTGCACCGGGGTGCGTGCGGGGGAGCTGCAGCCCGACCCCGAGCTCCAGCCTGGCCGTGGACAGGTCATAAGGGTGAGCTGGGTGCAGGGCGTGCGTCCCCCGGCTTTTTTCAGAGGGGCCGTTGGGGGTACCTGTGCCCTCTGCGGCAAATCGCAGGCTTGTGGGCTGGACCCACGGCGGGGTCAGGTCCTGATCGCCAGCAAACTGGTCACGTACCACCCTCCTGCATGGGTGCCGGAGCGGAAAACCTGGATCCCAGTCCTGGTTCAGCTGTGGGAACACCTCGAGTCCCCCACGCCCGGGACCCCGCTCTCCACCTCTCCCACACCCTCTCCTCTTCATCTCCCAGGTCCTGGCCCCATGGGTGAAGCATTTCATCATCACTCACGACATGGAATCTGGTCTCTACAACTCGCCGTATGTCATCCCGGGGTAGGTGACCGTGGGTGAGGCAGGGGCGTGAGCCTCGTTTCCTCCCGAGAGCAGCCATCCACCCCCTTCGGCGATGGAGAGGGGCTTTCTGGCACTTCCCCTTGTGCTGATATCTCAGGACCAGGCAATAAGCCGTTGTGTAAATAGGACTGCCGAATGCTCACAGCCCCCAAGCACAGTATTCCGGGTGATTTCTGATCGCAGTCCCAGCCACACGTGAATTCCTCTCCCTGGGTTTATTCCAGCTCGAGCTGTTGGAGCTCAGCCCACGGGCTCCCTCCTGCCCTCCCCACGTCCAGCCCTGTGTGTCTGTGCCTCCCAGGGCTCAGGGAAGGTTTTAGGGGGGTCTGGCAGGTACAGAGACCCCCAGTTGCCCCCCAGTCTGTCCTCTGGTTCATCCACGGGAGTTCTGGAGCAGCAGCAGCAATGTTTCTTGGCGTTCCCCGCTGCAGCATCCCGTTCCTCCAGCTCTTCCCCAGCCGGGCGGGAGCAGAGCTGTTGGACGGAAGATGGGATTTGTGGTTGGGTTTGCCCAGGCGGGGGCCTTTGGGGTGCTGATAGCAGTTCGGGGATGATTTGCTCCCAAGCAGGCACCGCTCTCCTGCCTGCTTGGCACGAGAGTTTCTCCGTCAGGAATGTCGCAAGCTCAGGGCGTAGAAGGATCCATAAATCACCCATGTGCAGAGTTCCGCAGCACAGGCTGGCCCGGCAGAGGACAGCTGGGGACACTCCCCACCATTCGTCTCCTTTGGCTTTTGGTGCAGGAACGAGTTCACCGTCTTGGGAGGGATCAATCAGCACGGCAACTGGAGCGAAGAGAACAGCGCCCAGGATCACAAAACCATCTGGGAGAGCTGCTGCCAGCTGCTGCCTGCGCTCCAGGTGGGGACCCCGACCCAGCGCCCACCACCGGGAGCCAGGGAGGGGGCACGGGGAGCCGGGGTGCTCGCGAAGAGCTGAGGCTGCTGGGGAAGGATGCTGAGGACAAACCGTGACCTCAGCGATGGCTTGGTGCCGTGTGGCTGCTGCAGTTCGGAGGGATGCTGATGTGCTTTTGTGCTTTTTGCTTTCAGAACGCAGAGATCGTACTGGAGTGGAGTGGCTTGAGACCGGCGCGGCCCCGGGTCCGCTTGGAGCGGGAGACCCTCCGCCACGGGCACTTCCAGGGAGAGGTACCGTGCACAGCGCAGGGCCGTTAACCACCGCGCTAATTGGGCATCAGCCGCTGCGACCTTGGTGGTGCAGCACTGATGCCCAGTGATGCTGGCGCTCAGCCACGTTCACCAGTCCTTGCTCCATCTCCCCTCCAATAACGGGCGAATCTTTGAGCCAGGCTCAGCCCCGTGGCAGAGAGAAGCATCAAAGATATTAAGTTTTGATGGAGTTTACGGGGAAGTGGGCAGCGAGAGCCCCTGCCAAAGGAAAACCTGCAGCTGGGGCTTAGTCCTTAATAGACACCGAAAAACCCAAATGGGAGAAAAACTCTGGCACAGGCTCTGCAGCTCCCAGAACCACACGAAGCACACGCGAACCCTGTTGTGGTGTCAGCTTTTCAAGAAGCGTGGGTTTAAGAGAAAGGAGACTGGGGATGGCACGAGTTTCCACATGCCGGCTGTCCTTGGACGCTCAGCACCTTTTCACGCAGGACCACATCCCTCCTTAGCTTAGCAGCTGACCTGATCCTTGATTTGGTTGCGTGCGTATGTCTCTGTTCAGCTTGGAAGAAGAGATTAAAGCTCCAAAGGGGATGGTGACTGTGAAATGTAATTAAATGTAATGAAAATATCCTCATTTTTTAGCTGTAGAGTCTTGGAAAGAAAACGGTGTATTTAGGCAAAGCCCAGAGCACGGTTCAAAGCGATGCTGTGTTTGAATTAATTTCTGGCTCACTCTGTTTCTGTATCAGCACATCACATCTGCGCTGCCTTGGCACTGGAGAGGGGCAGCTATTGATCCCAGCAGCGAGTCAGGGCTCCCGCTGGAGCACAGTGATCTCCCTGGGCAGGAGCAAACCCGGGCTCGGAGGCACCGTGTTGTGCCCTGAGAACCGCGGGCGGCTGGAGCAGCGGGTGCAGAGGATGCTCTGGGGCCCCGCTGAACCGTTCCCCCAGCCTCTCCAGTGGCTTTTGGAGGGAGGGGAAGAGCTTTCCCAGCGCCGATCTCTTCTCTCCCCTGCAGGTGATCCACAACTATGGCCATGGTGGGTTCGGGATCACCTCCCACTGGGGCTGTGCCATGGCAGCAGCCGGG